ATCTTGTTGGTTGTAAAGCTCATTTATTTTCTATAGACAGACAATAAGTATTAGGGATGGTACTATCCATAAATCATACTTTTTTTTATTAACCCAACCATTAGAAAAATCATAAAACTTTTCATATCAACATATCAACATAGACATAGGAATAAATTTCAATTTCGGCATCACCGAAAGCATCATCGGCAATTACCCAGTTTCGGCAAATTTCCAACAATGAGTGTAATAGTAATAGTGAGACAAATCAAAATACTGTACGATATTTTCAAATGATTTTGGTAATAATAATTTTATATTTTATATTTCATAATTTCTAAATTTTTCATATAAATCATCTTGACGACTTTTACTTCCAAATTTAGAAGTATTATGTTGAATATATGAATTATTATTATAAGCTTGATTAGAAAAAGTTTCTGTATCTAAAGAGTCAGTTATTTTTAGTGGTTGTTTTGGTGGCGTTGTCCAATGAACAGTCTAACAATGAAAATTATAAGCATGTTTAGCTAACCATAAATTCCAAACTTTTTAAATTATCAACTTACATGACCCCGTTTCATAACCATTTCTTTCCACATCTTGTAAGGAATCTTGATTGATCCTGTACGCCATCTGTCGTATTGAGAGCGTTCGGCTTCATTCGTCAGGATATTGTAAGCCGTAGATAATTGATAAAATTTCTTTTGGGCATTTTCTTTTACGTAAATACGTAGAATGTATTTAGAATTATTAGAATTTCGTAGAATTATCACGGATTTAGAGTTATTACGTATTACGTATTAGAATAGATTTGGAATTATTGTTTAGAAATATTACAGATTTAGTATTAGGATTCAGAATGCATTAGAATATGTATGCATTTAGAATGTATTTATAAAAAAGTTAATAACAAAAAAAAAAAAAGATTATGTATCTATCTTACCATCTTTAACTTTGTCAGGATGGCAACTTAATGCACGTTTTTTATATTCTGTAGAAATTTGTTCTGTCTGTAATGATAAGATTGATATTTAAATCAATCCAATTCGAATATGTCGAATATATATAAATAATAAATATAGGTATAAAATAATAAAATAATAAAAACTTACAGTGCAAGAAGATGTGCAACCAAGTATCTCATATAAATTTTCGTAAAATTTTTCATCATCATCTTCTGTAGAATTTATTGATTCAAGGATTGAATTCAAATCCATTTTTTTAATTTTGTTTCTAGAGATTTCTTACTAATCGTTATATATACACAATGAATAATGGATCATGTGGTAACCATTCTTCGGATCTTGAAATGCATGGCATGCATGTTTGATGACTCATTTTCAAGGGTTTTCGGGTTTATCTCCACATACCACGTGATAAGCCTATGTAGTTAGTAGTTGATGTAGCATATATCGATATCTGCGCCAAGAATTAATAAAACGGACACGTTTCCAAATTAGGAAAATAATTATCGGGTTCAATACAGATAGGGTCTTTAGATACCGACATACAGTTCTAACAACTTTCTAAATAAGGAGAAAAGTTGTGGCACGAATAATTAGAGAGGTTACTACGTAGAAGCGATTGCATGTAAACATGTAAACATGTAATATCTAAATTTCTCTCATTCTCTTTAACAAATGTCCAAAGAATCAAGGATCGCAAGTTTCTGTGGGTATCATGATTTTGATCCCAAATTATCAGTGACTTCATGGTTCATAAGTCCAATTAACTTGACAATATTTCGTGGTATAATAACATTATATTCATGGATCGTTCTTATTTTACGACTTGCCTTCCAACCATCCGCACGTTTTTTTGTACTCTTTACAAATTTGACATATATAGGATTGGTCGCCTATTTCACTGTAAGTTTTTATTATAATAAAGGATATTTTGAATTAGATTTGTTAATTAAATTAAGTATAATAAAATTAGACCGCATTCTACCATTCATTTCGATACATTCGTACTCCTAAACCATATACACCAATATCTTTTCACACTCAACCGAAATTATTAAATTGGTTCTTTTGGCTTCTTTATCATACTGTTGTACAATTTCAGTAAGTTCTTTTTAATGCAAACCATTAATAGATTCAGATAAATCTGATTTTTTGGTTTTTTTTTCATAGTTCTATAATATTCTTAGTTTATTGGATTTTCCTAGCAAATAACAATATAAATACAGCATTTGCAAAATGGCTAAATATTTCAGTTCATGGGATGGATTTGGTTATAATGATTTTAGAATTATTCTTAAATCGACAAATAATAATTTGGAGATTGCTTTTGTTTACAACCTGTATAGAAATTTTATATCTTTTTGAAATTCTTATAAATTTCTCAATGTAAGTTATTATATTACATCGGATTACATCGGTTTCTTTAATATTTACATACAGTAGATAGTACATTATTAATATTTTCTTTCTATATAGAAATAATTATTGGGTATATGGATTTCTTGACACATCGAATGGCCCTAAATCAGCGATATGGTATGTAGGGTTGGTTATAGCTTTTTCTATAGCTTTTGGTATAGTGTGGGCATTACATAAACTTCGAGATTTTATCGGGAAAAAATTAAACAAACAACAATTTGACAATGATAATACGACGGAGGAAGTATTACAATTAGATAATGATAATATGACAGAGGTAATAATTTAAATTATTTAATATATAATTGTCTAAATACTACAGTAGTTGCTACAGTAGTTGCTGTTATAATACCAAAAATAAATTTGAAAGTATTTACAAAAGATAGCTTTATTATTTTCTTTAACAAAAAGGCATGGAAATATATTTACAACAAATCTAATGCCTATCATACTTGTATAAAAAGCAAAATCTTAATTCTAATTGACATAATAAAACATATTGTAAATGAATGTTGAAATAAGACCAAAGATGCTATGACACTACATGCTATTACTGTATAATAGCTAACTTAGATCAAATGATCAAATACAACACAGGAAATACAATTTTTTTTTTTTTTTTTTTTTTTTAAGTTGACATTGGCCCGAATAATATATCATCATCTTTTGTCCGTTCTAAATCCAACTTTTTATTATGATTTTTTCCATCACCATGATGACTATGGCGATGACATGATCTTCGTCTATATAATTTATCCTTATTGCCATAATGATTATATAATGGTATAGGAATTCCTTTCCTTCTTAAATTTACAGGTTGTGTATTCATAATAATACCATTTCTTGGATATGGTAATGATTTTGATTTATAATAATGAATTGTAGTAGTAGTGTTTGTAGGTGTTAATATTGATACGGCAGTAGAATAATGTGATGTAGTAGAATGAGAAGAAGTTGGGGATTCGGTCGTACTAGCAACTGTTGTAGTTACAGCAGCAGTTGCGGTTTTTCCGTTAGGTAATACAGTAACCAAAGTATTTGTATTGGTTGTGTTATTTGGAGTTAAAACTTCTTGAGAACGATTTTCCTCATCATTAATATCATAATCTTCACTGTTTTCATAATATTCGGAAACATCATCATCATCATCATCATCTTCATCGTCATCCTCGTCATCTTCAACATAACCATCATCACTACCTGAACCATCGCATAAATCACATTCAGATCCATCATCGTCATCGTCATCATCATCATCATGTTGAGACGTTATAGGTAATGGAGAAAGAATATTGGTGCGTTTATGCATCACTATTGTCGAAGTTGTTTGCGAAGGTTCAACGGCAGATAAATTTGGTTTTGTAGAAGGATCATCATTTGCATGAGTTGAAGATCTTTCACGAACCACCAACGGGCAATTGCCAAATTTTAGGACTCTTTCTTTTTTTGTGGAGGTATTATTAGTTTCATTGCCAGTTTCATTGCCAGTTGTGGTCGTAGCATTTATTATAGGGTTTCCGCGTAAAGGTCCCTTTGTGTCGACCTGTTTTTTTAACATTTCGGATAATAAGGATTTTTGATTTGATTGATCAATCTGTGAATTTACAAATTCACGTTTTGTGAATTCTACAGTCGAGTTCGTACTTGAAGCCAATTGTAAAACAGAGGATAAAAGTGATTGAACAATTCTAGAAGATTTTTGATGAGAAGAAGCAGTTGAGGGAGATGAGTTATTAAAAGAAGGTTTATCGGACTTTGGTTTTAATCTATAAAATAAAAAAGTAAATATATATATATGTATAAGAGTACATATTTGGATTAGTAAATTTTGATTAATAATTTTACTAAAAAAGATACTTGATAAATAATGAGATGATAAATTACCTCGGTGATCCACACCCACCAAATCCTAAATGACCAGTAATCACTACAGCACAAGGTGATAGAGGTTGCATTTTTTTTGAATTTTTGTCGGTAAAGACGAGAACGTTTGATTTGGGGGGATTTTATAAGAAAACAGCAGGCGCTCGAGGTATCAGTATCAGATGTTATTCCAAAATAGGAATATAATTAATATGAAAAAAGTATGAAAATATTATATATTTATATACGTAAATTATTAATAATATATATACAGTAATGTGACAGATATGACAGTATGATGTAAATGAAGTAAGTACTGAAGTAAATGAAAATATGAAGCAACCGAAAATTTTAATTATAAAATTAATTGTAAATTTTAATTGTAAATTGTAAGGGACGAGAAATATCTACAAATTTATAGTAATTACGAGGTGATCAAAATAATGATAACGATAGATTATTATATAAGATAATAAACAAATACTTGTGTTAATATAATATTTTTTTAGTTAGAACCATTTTTTAATAGATATACGGGTTACGGCCGTCAATGTTACCACTAATGGTTATAGATTTTATTGGGGATGCATAAAAGCCTTTGAAAAGAGTACAACATATAGCTGTACACATGAACATATCCAGACATGAAACGTTGAAGAGGTGAAAGCAACAGTCATTGAAATAATGTTTGTACCTATGATGTAAACAAGTATCCAAACTTGAATCAATATCATTCATGAGTGGGGTGGATTCTATGATCCAAAAATCCAACCCGATTAACCCGATTAACCCGATTAACTCTATTGTACACCATATTCAAAAATTCTAGTTAAATTCTAGTTATGTAGGTACGTACATATCGCATATGTATAGGATATGTATAGGATATGTATAGTATATGTATAGTATATGTATGGATATGTGTGTACATATACAGCATATACAGCATAGATACTTACATACTCTAATATATACACAGTATATACACTAATGTACACTAATGTACACTAATATACACTAATCCGAAAACAATAGATGACTCTACATATTCATTACAAAAAATTACCAATTCCCGATTTCTTATTGACATGAGTTTTTACGTCACTGTCATACTTATTTGTATAGGTAATGCTCGTTTTATACGTTCCCGCATCTTATGATGCAAATGATGCGATGATCGTATGTTTTTTATTCATTTTTATTCAGAATGTGGACTTTTTTTGAATTTGGTACAACGACTTCTTTGGTATACATTCTGTTATCGTTTATACAGGATTTTCGTTTCATATTTCACGCTTTACTTTAGGTCCCTGTTACTGTTGATCTGTTTACCTGGAATAATGAATCCTTTTTTGTAGGTTTATTTAACGTATCCCTGCTCTCTTATGTAATATTACAATTACATTTTTAACTTTTTTAGTAATCGTCTACTTTTGTAAAAATCTAGTCGAGTGATTTTACCTTGATATGCTATTTTTGTTAAGATTAAAATATCAACGCTAACTCTTTTTTCACTTTTAACTACAATTGTTCTATCAACACGTTGTTGGTTATCTTTGCTTTTCCCCTGCTGAATCTGTTGAATATGCTTAATCTGTTGAATCCTGCTGAATTCTGCTGAATGATATAATTTATGACATACCCCATGAAATGTGACTTTATGTGGCGCTGTACGACTCTGGATGAGTAGCGGTAGTGGCTAGTGAAGTCATTAAAGTCATTAAACTCATCATTGTATTTATTGTTATTTTTAGTTCTTTGACATCCATATGGAATAAGCCGTAATCTTTCTGCCATCAACTTAAATAGTTAACAAGGGTAATGGCGTTTGTATTACTACTAAACGTATTGACGACATATACGTATGTACGATATTTCTGTTATCTGTTATAAACAATTACTTTATATTGACTATTTACTTTATTATTTACATTCACGCAATTTTTATTTATGCTGGTAATGGTAACGATGGTAACAGTAACGGTTTCAATGCATATTTAATTTACTTGAGTACATAGTCATAAGATTCATCATGAGTTAAATTTTAAAAAAAAAAAATTTATCGTATTTTATTATACTTGTTTAATATTGACTATGGTTTGTCCATTTTTTAATATTTGAAACTTTTTTTTAAAACTTAATTCATTAAAACAATCCAAGTCAAAATGTAGTTAAATGAATGTGTTTCAAGTATTATTTTACTTACAAAATTTTCATTGAATTCAAATTAAATTCAATTGTTGGATACCCGAAAACTTAGGTTTAAAAATAAAAAAATTTCTAGGTTTAAAAATACCTATAATAATAAATAGGCTTTTTTAATTTAACAGTTAATGTATCGGTATATAAAAATTTAACTTTAATACGTACGTACGTACGTATCCCAAGAAGTACGCATATACTTAATAATCAAGTTATGCGTAATATTTACTTGTTTAATGTGTATAGTGTTTGAGTCTAACAGAATTCAGAATTAGTCGATCGAATGCCGCCAAGAAAAAACCCGTGAATCTGGTAAGATTTACAGGTTTTCTCTTGGTAGCACTCATATCGATATTATTAGAAATAATCAATAATTTAAAGCTTGGTTGCAATTTAAGAATGACGACAGTCTTCAAAAAAAATTGTTGGTTAAAAGATCATAGATCCCTGACAAACAACGATAAGTGTAAATAATGCGTAATTAATAATTCCGTAGGTTTTATCAGAATATAGCTGTTACCCAGGTCGAAACGTCATAACCCGGGTCATCATTTTTCAACCCGGGTAACAGCGCTAATCCAAAACTACAAGTTGTTTGTTTTTCTTTTCGTTCGGATGATATCATAAAAAACAGTTATGATTTTGTCATATTGATATTGAATATTTATTCTTAAAAATATACCAAAGAAAATTACAGACCTCCCCTAAATGCATAATCTATGAAAAATCTTTAAATGCGTGATCCTGTTTTCCCAATTCATATAATAATTTTCCTCCTTAAACGCAATACCTCTTTAAATGTAATTAAATGTAATATTTTTAAATGTTTCAGATAGGCCATTTAGAGAGATCTCTGATTTGTATAAAGCTAAATTTATATCATGATATAAACCAAAAATAAAACTTGCCAGAGGTTTGCACAAAGATTGTATAAAGCCAAATTTATATCATTATATAAAACAAAAATAAAATTTGCCAGAGATTTTCCCAAAATAAATTGTATGAGTGCTGTCACCAAAATCAGGTACATAATACGGGGTGCTTAATAAATTTAATATGAAATATATCTATGATGCTATTTTGATTATTAATAATTACGGAGACTAAGAACCTTTATGAAAAACATTCGAATGTCGGGTCTAATTAACTATACACAAGTCTATATGAAGATGAGGAATCAAGTGTTGAAGATAGTGAATTCGAATTAGAATACTTTAAAGAAATGCAAAGAAAAGTCTTTGAAGTATAAATTTTCTTTTTTTTCTGGCGTTTTCTGGCGTTTGACTATCTTGAAAAGCCTAATATAATATTCTTTCAAGATAAAAAAAAAAAAGCAAATTTCATACCTATTCAAAATTTGAAGTTTTACGTATATGAAAAAATAATCAAAAATAAAATTTGATTCAAATACATTTTAAGTATTCAAATTTTAATGTATTTAATTCGATTCAAATTTAAAGCAAGTTCTCGAACAAATAATTTGAATAAAAAAAAGCTTTTCTTTTTTCGCGATTTCGTAATTCTTATGCTAATGCTCAGATTGAATTTTTAAGCAGCGCTCACTGTACGTACGTACCTGATTTTGGTGGCGATACTAGGTGGTTAAGGAAAACCTGTCATCGGGCTTTCAATTATATTTTGTGTCCAGTTTTCCATCTAGAGAGATTCTATCATTGGACTTTCGACTATATTTTGTGGTGTCGTCACAAAATATAACTGACAAAGCCCCATTGCGGCGAATTTATAACCTATGAAGGACCGTACGTCACTTATTATTTGTTTTCTTGATATATATTTCTTATTGTAAAATCATCTTCCCCTGAAAAAGATGGATTAGACGTTATCTATAGGATTTTGCAATAAGAAATGTCAAAAAACAAATACAGAGATCTCTAAATGCACCCTCTCTAAATGCACTCTCAACTTCCGGCCCAAGTATATACTTGACTTCTATAAATGCACATTTTTTTATTGTTTTCTAAATGCATGGTTTTAGAAGTTCGGTTCCTATTGTGTGCATTTAGATTTAGAGAGGTCTCTCTGTAATAAGTGACGCACTTCATAGGTTAATCAAATACTCTAATTTCATAAATTCGCCATGATACGATGATAGGTTTTAGACGGCACGCGGGGTACAAAATATAATTGAAAGCCCGATGACAGGTTTTGCCTTGGCAGCACTCATATATACAGTATATCTTAAATACTGGTTAAGTAATATTCCAAGCAAAAACTTGCCACTTCAAAAACTCTTTATATTAACGTTAACTCTAAATTTTATTAATAGAGATTTATATAAATAAAAATTCTTGATTTAATTTACACAGTACTATATCAGATATATATGTATACAGTTAATTAGTATTTTATCATTAGCGATAGTAAATAAGCGGATTAAATTAAGCTAGTTGTGAATTGAGATTACTTGAATAGAAGCTATATATTTGAATATTATTTTTAAAAATTATAATCGCCCTTTGAAATTTGGTTGATTGCGGACTTTCGGACACGAAATCTCGTGTAACTATAGATTATCTCGCGAGAAGTTCATTGAATAACGCGATAACGTGAAATTCAAAAAAATCTTGCAACTTAAAAAACCCTTGCTTTATTACAGGAGGTCTTACTTGTGAGATTTTGCCACATTTAATATAAATTTAATACAAATTTATACAAATTTAATATAAATTTAATACAAATTTAATACAAACTTAATACAAATTTAATACAAATTTAATAAAATTTAATGCAAATTTAGCACGAATCTGCTTCACTAAAATAGCATAAAATAAATCTCGAAACACTTCAAAAAGCTCTCACTATATTCTACAAATTTTAAAGTTTATAATACGTGTAATATGTGAAAATATTATTTACTGCTACCGTATTATTTGTTATTCGTTATTTTTTTACGTATTGTCTCTACGTACCCAGTTATCAAGATATATCACGTGTGATTAAAGACAATCAATAAGTGTGACGTAAGGCGCATATATTTAAATATTCAATCTTTGTCCTCTCTATCCGGTTAAGTCAAGTCATGTCACCACCGCGTCGTCTCAGTTCACGAAGTAGCAAAAAAGCTACCGCTGATTTCGGAAAGCCTTTTATTAAACCACCACGCGCACAAACTACTATTGCTGTTCAGTATGCTGATACGAAACCGAAAGATGCGTGGGCTACTCTCGTGCCCTCGGGTGATACGTGTAATAGCTTAATACCTATTTATTTGACTGACAACAATCATTACTTGGGAACTCAGCCAGAAGATGGTGTTTTTAAGGTAGCTGTCTCATAAACTCTTTATCTTTTATTTTATATATATATTTACACGCTTTTAATCTACATTTGTTTGTTACTTGTTTAGCGAATATTAGCTGACCCTAGAATTGACGTGGTACACTGTGCTATCTTTAAAGTATGATAATATTTTATTTATTATGCTAATTAATTGATTATTATTTAATTATAAATATATTTAAATAAATTTATAATTTTTATATTTCTTATTAGGAATATAAAGAGGCTATAGGAACAGTTGTAAAATTACAAAATTTAAGGTATTCATTTTATCATTTATTATTTCACTATATTTCTATTGAAATTATTTTACTATATTTCTATTATTATGTTTCTATTGAAATTATTTTACTATGTTTCTATTGAAAAATTAATTATCATTTTCTCTCTACAGTAAAGATGGTGCGGTTCGGGTCTTAGACCGTGATTTAAAGTCTAAACAATATGTTGAATTAAAAGATGGCGATTATATACGATTTCCTTCTTCAAAAGGTTATTGGTATATTTATAGAATCGAAATCGATTTAAAGTCAAAAGTCATGTTTCATAGTGTATACGACATTAAAGGTACTCTTGGAAAAGGTCATTTTGCTGAAGTAATGTTGGCTACTCCAAAAACTTCCATCGCTGGTAATGAGTCAAACCTACAGGAATATGCTGTAAAAATCATTGATAAAAGTAACGTGTCGAAAAATTTTAACGAACAAAAACTTCATGACGAAATTATAATAATGTACAAGATTTCTCATGTAAGCTTAAATTAATTTTTTATATCTTGTTCCTTTTTCTTTTCTTTTCTTTTTTTTTTTTTTGACTAGTTTATTTTTTATTTGATAAGCCATCTTTAGTACGCATATATAACTTATATAATGAGAATGATAAATTATATCTCATTATGGAATACATTAAAGATGGTGAATTCTTTGATTTTATAACACAAAGAAAAAAATTATCTGAATATGAAACTCGTATCGTTTTTAAACAATTGTTTGAAGCGATAAAATATTTACATGGTCATCGTATTGCTCATCGAGATCTTAAACCTGAAAATATTCTCATGTCAAGTGCCGCAAAACTCGAGGTTAAAATTTCGGATTTTGGTTTATCTAAACTACTTGGTCCTGAACATTCATTAATGAAAACTCTATGTGGAACTCGTCTTTACGTTGCTCCTGAAGTCATTGCTCGAACACCTAATCGTAGCTACGGAAGAGCTGTTGATATGTGGAGTCTTGGTGTTATTCTATACGTCTGCCTTTGTGGAAATTTGCCATTCGCTGATGAATTGGGCCCTCCAGGTCTCCTGGATCAAATTAGAATAGGAAAATATAAATTCCATTCCCCAGCATGGGATGATATTAGTGATGATGCAAAGAATTTGATTAAAGGGTTATTAACTGTTAATGTAAAAGATCGATTAACAGTTTCACAAGCTCTGTCACATCCGTTCATGCAGGTAATATATCTATATTTTTTATTTAATACTTTATGCTTATCACCTATTAATTTACTTAATTTTTTTTTCTCATTAGACACTACCTTTACCTCAATCTATTTCAAATGCGCCAATTTTGGTACATGAGAATGAAACCACTCCACAAAATAATATGTATAAAAAAAGTTTCACACAGAAAATTTTGTCTAAACACACGGATTTCAGTGATGCAGATTTTGCTGATGACGAGGCATCATTCGTTACTGCAGGCACAGTTGAATTATCAAGCTCTTCTTCGCAAACATCTGGTTCCGAAATTCAATATCTTTGTTGTGAGGCTTCTTATTTTTCTGAATTTTAATTTCTCATTTTATAGTTGTGACATTAATTCTTAATTGGTTTACATATGTGGCTGAATTCACCTTTTTTTTTACACTTATAAAAAAAAAAAAAAAAAAAGAACACCCAATTTAATGACTAGCTTTATCCCTAAAAAATTTGAAGTATAATAATTTTTTTTCATCGATTTTATGAGGTACTTTATAATGTCGTATTAGCGTAATATTATTAATTAGTTTCCATACTACATTAATACGTACATTAATTAAACAGGGTTGCTCATTTCATAACGCGTAATAAATTTTTTTTTTTTGATAACTTGTTACATACTGTAATGAAGCTGTTTATATATATTATCGTTAATACAAATTTTTTTAGTCAAAATCATTCGCAGACTGAAAATTTGTTATATATTTTTTTTTTTTAAAAAAAAAAGATACCCGTAGAAGAGTTGCTGATCTGCAACATATGATTCATGTAAAAGATCCTACAATCAGTTTTAAAATTCGATGTTCTCGGTGCTCTCTGAAAAACACCTAAAAATGTTTATGAACCTAAATTATTGGAAAATTTTCTTATTTGAGAATATTTAAAAAATTTTTTAATATTAAAAACTTTCTAATATTGAAAATATTAAAAAATTTTTGAAAATATTAAGAATTCAAAAAATGCTTTTTTGAGAACA